TCCAATTTTTTTTAGCAATTGCCATGCCGGACCCCACAATCCCCCCAAAAATGGTTTCATTGCCACCAGTAGTGTCAGGAAATACAGTTGTTTCCAAAAAATACAAAATAAATTAATTGGGAGGAATATCAGCTACAATACTAAACCAAACTATAACTTTTGCAGCACTTTTACATAAAAGCCAAGATTTGCTCCTATATATTAAGAACTAACATCCTAGTTACCTCTCCATTTGACAGTTTTCAATGTCTCGCATTTTCAATGAAGCAGAATTTTAGCTGTGTCCTCAACTGGCATTTGAAGGGAACTGCAAAGACAAACCTCATTATCTGTTCAACCAGATTTACTGCTTTCTTACTCATTGCTGGCTTTGGCACTTCTTAAACCTGAACAATCCCCAGCTGTGTCCCGGCAACCATTTGAATATTTCAATTGGCAGCTTTGGCAAGAGTGAAGAAACATGCTAAATGGTAGGTTGACCGATTTATCAGCATAGCAACAGTTCCTGCTTGCTGAAGGCAAAAATGCAGGTCAAATTTATGACAAATGTTGATTAAATTCCACAATCCGGTCATAGTGACTAGACCAACCAACCAACCATTCTATACCATTGCACTGAATAGATCATTCAACCTTCAAAGTTGAAGCAAATTCATCAAGTACATAATGCGCCACCCTCACTTCTGACATTCAAAGTCAGAAAATTAAGTTACCTTTTTCTATACCATGACCATATGAATCTGCCCAAGTCACTCACTAAATTGTGAGCTGCATTCACACAGATTTTACAGTAAACTTCAAGATAATTCCTCATAAAAAGATACCCCCGTACCCCCAAAAAATTATGCCTTTATTTGCTTTTGTGTAAGGCAACACTGAAAGTTAAAAAAAGTTTTGATCAACTTGGTGTCTGATATGCATTATCCCATCACCATGTTTATAAGTATCCAAATCAATGCAAATTGTTGTAGCCTCCATTGACTTTACTTCTTGCGGGTTGTGCACATGCACAGAAAGTGCCAGGCACATACTGCACAGGAAGTAATGTCAGCAGTGCTTCCTGTGCACGAAATAAGTCATATCTGAGGCTTTCTGATGACTTCGAAAGCGGCCAATATATAAGCGAGCCAATTCTCAACTAGGGCACATTGTAACAGGGTCACCCAGCATTTGTACTCAAAATACACAAGGATAGACCTCTATTCCTTACACTACTTATTTTATGATCATTCCATATTATAATAATTCTAACAATAATCTTTATATTTGGTATAGCCCATTTCATTTCGGGAGGACATCCCAAAAGGCTTCACAAGATGTACTGTAAAAGTGCAGTAAAAAGCTGTGGTTTTGTGGTGATCATGGCAGCCAATTTGCACACAATGTCCCACAAACATCAATGAAGTGAATAACTGATTTTATTTGGGGGATAACTGATTTTATTTGGGGGATGTTAGAAATGTAGCCAGGACTGGGGGAAATGTAGCTGATGAGAAAAATATCAGAATTGTGTGCTTTCTGTCTAACACCTAAATCCGAAATCCAAAACAAATTATTTAATACACTAAATCTAAAAAAAACACCTTTTTTAGAGGTAGGTGTAAAAGTAACATTCCTCATTCCATCTATATGCGCATTGTATTTTCAAAATTTCTGAGTTTTGGGTGGTCAACAGAAGGGAGGTATAACAATTATGAATTATTTCTCTTTATGTCCAAGAACTTTTTCCCTCCCTAATGCTGGGATGGTCGAGCTGATTTAGCCACCCACCTCCCCCAGTTGAGACCAGCAAACTCAGCACAGGCCTGGATTCAAACCAGCAAGTTCCTATTTTGTAAGATGCGGCTATATCCACTACACCACTGAGCCTGCCCTGGTAGTATAATCTATGTGGAGGGAGGAAGCAAAGTGGTGCGGCTGATATGGAACAAATCTCTTCTATAATATTCGTCTCATTTGCAATTCTGGAAAAGATTCAGAAACAAAAAGGGAAAGGGAAGAAAAATTACAAATTGCAAATAAAATATAACCTTTAATCAGACACATGGCTTTCACTATCACAACCCTATTCAAAAAAGACAAGCCAGTTAATTTTACACTATTATTTGCTCTCCTTAATGTGAGACTCAATTGTCCTCGATACTTCAAGCCTATTTAAGACATTTGTCTTCTTGTCAACCTCCTATCACTTCAAATTATTTTGATTTAAATTTTATTGTTCTTTCCTCTTCCCCTCAGCCTTTCCAGGCTGCACCCAATCATAAGCAGGAGATGGTAAACTTGTAACTTCCTAATGCTGCCCTGTAAGGAAATGTCTCAGGAAAGCAGAAGGGGACTAGAGAGATTTTTCTCTCTGGAAACAGATTTCATCACTTAGTGACTTCACAATAGTTTTAGCTGCAAATAGAAACATATTCAAATCACTGTGATGCTGCCAACACATCACCAAGGCATGAATTTTAATAAAGCAAATCAATGCCTTTCATATAAAAATAAATGCTGTAATCTTCCTTTCACTACCAAAAATTTTTCATAATGCTAATAATCACGATACTTCTGTACTGTAGATCTAATATTTGCTGCTTTAATCCATTTTCTCCAATCCCTGGTGTGTAGTTATGGTAAACAAAACTTTGCAAAATCAAAGTTGCTGAAATTAAAATGATGACATTGAAGAAATAGACAGGTCATTGCTAATTAACTTCCTTTTCTTTAAGAATAATCTTCTTCCCTCCAACTAAACTTTAGTTTATATTTAAGTCAAACAAAATTTACATGCTGCCTCAAGTTATAATATATTGTATGTGAACATCACTAGATTTATTAAACACAAACTGAAAAGAAACATATTTTAGTCACTATGATATGATAATAATCCTTGCATTTGATATAGCGCCTTATCACATCTTCAAGACATCTCAAAGCACTTCACAGAATGTTCTGTAAAGTGAGTTGACTGTATATTTTATGGGCGAAACGCAGCATCTAATTACACACAGCAGTGACCCACAAACAGTCGTGGAATTGAGTGACCAATTTTTTTTTGAAGGAATTATTATCCCCGGAAAAGCGATCCGCCAATCGGCTAACAAGTGGGTTCCTACTTACTTCTAGGTAAACAGAGGCGCGTCAAATAACGAAACTTGCCCAACGTTTCAACCTGCCGTCCATCTAATGTGAAATTTAGCAACTTAAATTTCTCACAGAACATGCATTTTATCCTAAGATTATACTGTTCGCCAACTAATCCACATTTCAAAACACAGATGGACATCTTACTATTAGAGAGTTTAATTGAAGATAGCACAAAAATATTTCTTCATCATTATATATCACTGAATTCCTAATTACAAATTACGGGCTCTTGCTGTTTCAAATGAAGCCCATTCACATCATGATACTTCTATAAACTCACCTACAGGCTTCACAGGGCAAACAGATAACTAAAAAATACAAAGCTTCCAATTTATAATAATAATTCTTGCATTTGATATAGCACCTAATCAAGACATCTCAAAGTGCTTCATAGTGTATACTATAAAGTAAATTGACTGTATTTTGTGAGTGAAATGTGGCAGCCAGTTACGCATAGCAATGTCCCACAAACAGCCATGGAGTGAGTGACCAATTTTATTTGGGAGATTGTTGGCCAGGACACCAGTAGAAACTCCCTTCTCTTTTCAAATAATGTCATGGGATCTTTAACATCCACCTGAACAGACAGATGGGACATCAGTTTGACATTTCAAATGCACAATCTTCCGACTCAGAAGCGAGAGTGCTACCACTGACACACAGCCTTCCCAAGAGAGAAAGCAGACCAAGTCTCTCCAATAGAAACATTTAATCAATCCTTTTCAGTTCCTCCATATGCAAAGCACAGTAAGCTAGAAGCCATACTAATTGATGTTCTGAAAGGCTTACCATTTTGTTCTAAAAGAGTTATTTTCTCCTCATTGGTAAAGTACAGGTTCACTTTTAACACAGATGTCTCTGTGGATACTGGAAGTGAGATATACTTCTGGTTTGTGGTGCAGACTGTCCAGTTTACTACCCTAAAAAATGGCCCAATTTACAGATTACAGATTGGTTGCCACAGTCACTTTCTACATGCTGTGCATGCAGTTATGCAAAAGAAGTGTTACTAACGTCACTTCATGCAGTGATGCGATGTCAGCAGCAAACTGATGACCCGTAAATTGGCGTTTGGACCTAGACCACGGCCATGTAATGGGATTGCCCCGTATCAACTTGGGCACTGTTCAGATTATAAGAAAAATCATCCTTTCATTTGACTATTGCTCCTTATCACATTCTCAAAACGCTACTCAGGATTTACTGTAAACAACAAATTACATATGTATAGCGCCTTTCATGTCAGGAGGACATTCCAAAGTACTGGAGTGTATTCGAAGGCAAAAGCAGCAGCCAACTTGCACATAGCAATGTCCTACAAACAACTGTTAAGTGAATGAACAATATTATCTGGAGGATTGTTGACCACGAGACATTAAGTGCACACACACACCACTTAGGAACTGGACAATATTCTTCTGTGATAGATATACATAATCATAAACTGAACCCAAGCTTGTATGTTGTTTGAAAGGAAGCCATTAACAGGAATCCAAAACTAATTTTAGCTAAGGGAAACTGAGCAATATGACAAGCTTGAACATTATATACAATACAAAATTATATTTCATGTCGGGAGGATCTCCCAACGTGCCATTATGTATACAAACGTTTACGTAATGGCTACAGATTGTGCAAACAATGGCCAACGTTCAGTGACATTTGTAATAAAAAAAATTTCAATAGTCAAGTGTCCTCACTCAAATGACAGTCAACTGTTTTGGAACGACTGAAAGGATAAAGAAGCCACATTTCCCAAGAGAAGCAGAGAACTACAAGATCGGAAACCAGATAATTCTTGAATTCACGAGGCACTGAAATGGAAAATTATAGAATTTTCTGCAGTATAAAAAGTGCTTACTTACAATTGACTGAGATGGATAAAAACAACTGTTCACCAATATTTCTTCTAAGAGTTCTTGATCTGTTAAAAGGGAATAATTATTCAATGGAAAACTCTGCTTCAAAATAAATATGTACTAATGCAATAGCTCAAAGGCACGAAGCAAACATAATACATCCCAAATACTTCTCAAAATGATTAGGTTCTTGAAGAACTTTATAAAATCTATGTTTTTAGAACAGAAAACATTTCAATTGATTTCTAACAATATGTAATAATGCAAGCTATTTGTACCCGATGGAAACATACAAGTATAATTTACAAAATGGAAGAAATGGTATAGAAATTATAAAACTAATACTAAGCCTTTCATTTGATATCAGTCTCATTACAGAAGTTCCGTCTGCATGTTCAAAAATCCCAAGGCACTACTTGAAAAAGACAACAATTTTTCCTCATGTCCTGGTTAACAATCCCCCAGGTTTAAAAAATGGTCATTTGTGATGCACTGCTGTGTGCAATATTCAAAGCACCTTTTTTTTTTGTAAAGTGTGGTGATTGTATTTGTAGGCAAACAGAGAACAATTAACATTATGACATTAAGCGTTATAAAAACTTTAGACAAATTACTGAACAACCCCAAACCTCTGCAGGTTAGGATGAGCGTTTTTGCACTTCCTAAAAAAATGATGATATAATCATTGTTTTTACAGATATCTGACCCAGCTTTGATTTCAAGTCCCAGAATCAGCATACAAGTCAGACAGAGGTGAAAAGGTGCTGATGGGAGACATTAAGCTGTAGAAAGTTAGAACTTATTGAAAACTTGGGTGTCTGACAGGTAATCCGTCAAAACAGCAGTGGTCCAAGAATCTAGGGAAGAGGCAGAGATAACCTGGCATCATTCCACATGTGGAATTGGACACCATGAAGTATGTGGAAAAGGAGAAAAGTTAAAAGGAGAACTGAGGAGGACTTTTCCCCTGCTGCAAATATACCATTTATTCACCAGTTTCACTTACACTTCAGGGTGCTAAAGGCCAGCTCGTACACCCAGCGTTGCGCTCTCTCATCTTTGATTTCTGGCACAGTTAAACTTTGATCCGTCCCATAGTTTACAAGTTGTCTATCATATTCTTTTTCTGCATGAATGTTCTGAAATATTTTAGCTGCTGTAACATAGATGTAATCAGGGTAGCCATTCTTTTCACCGTGAGATGAAGTGCTCTTCTTACTCGAAATGGTCAGTTCATCAAGATTCGAGATCTCAGATGGAATGTCAGACGAATAAACCATTACACTTTTAGAAGGCAGCATTTTTGAAGTCTAATCAAGTGGTAAAAAGATTCATTCATTCATATCAGTGTGAGGTTTCCTGCAAAATGTCAGAAAGTACATTCATATAAACAGACTTCAAATATCTGATTAGATAACACATTAAACTATTACTTGTAAAAAATTGTTTTTTTCCCAACGCAATTTATAGCAAATAGTAAAAGCTTACACCCTTAAAGTTCTAAAGTCTAGACGATGGATGTAAATCTACAGTATTACAAAACTTGTCCACACCGTTGCAAAAAAAACATTCACGTAGTTAAAGTTCCAAGTTCTGCTAAAGTTTCTTCACTCTATAAATGTTATTAAATCTTAAAGTTAATTTAATTTTCTTAGATTACTTTCATTTATGCATTGCCCTTATTGCTCGTTACCTGCTGTTAAATATTATGCATCAATCTTTTAGTCAAATCACCACTGAGTGTTTAGTAAAAGGACCGATTAAAATACCTCCCATGAAACCTCAGTGTCTGTGATGTCACAGTAAGTGCCTTCACATTGTTTCCTCACCACATTCACTAACTGCCTCAGACTCCCACAAAATTAAAAGTAGTCCTCGCAAAATTTTGAATTTCCTTGTAGGTTATACCAGCAACACAATCTTACATAATCTAAAAAGATACTTCATAAGAATGGAAAAGTCATGAAACATCATTTCTACTCCCATCGATGAGTAAAGATTGCACAACCCATATTTGGTTGTGGAAATGGAAGGATTACTTTAGAACTTTAAGGATGTCTTATTTCTCTCCCAATTCAACTTTTCAATAAACGATTCTCCAATTAAAGTGTGCATGCTCTTTCTGACTGTCTACAAAATCTGTGACTACACTTCACAGCAATTACCTTTGAATTGTTTTGCAAGGTCTTTATTTTCTTTTGTGAAGTGTTTTGTAAGTTCTTTATTTTCTCTGGTGGCTCAGCCAGTCTTTCCAATGAGTGGCTGATCTATAAACCAGGAAGATCCCAAGTCTGGTCAACAGGTCTGCGTCGAGTTTGGTGATCTCAGATGGGCAGCACTCAGAGTGTGACAATCTCTCTGCTGGAGATACCCATGTGGACTTTGCGTTGGTTGATTGACATCAGTTTACGAGCTGCAAAACTCCCACAACTAAATGACCATGAATCACAGTCAAGTTTTGCAACTCAATAATGGGCGCTTGGGCGAGAGATCTGATGTCTTCGAAATGGACCCTAGTAAAATGAAAAAGCATAAGTCTACTAAACATGCGGGGAGAAATTTAGTGAGGAAAAAATCCCATTGTAGTACAAACCGAGTAAACAATCAGAATACCTTCTCCCAATTCTCAAGCTTTGAAAATACAATCTTGATCTTGAGAAGAGAACAGATTTCAGTACAAATCCAAAGAGAAACAATAGTTTCACTGAAACTTTCGGGTACTGAAAAAATCTCCCGATATTGAAACGCCAGCACCAAGAGAACACTCGGGTATCAAAGCCCTGTTAGTGCAGTTGTATGACAACAGCTTTTGGAGGATCAGGACACAACTGCTTACACCGATGTTCTCACAAACGTGGACGAATATTTACAACTTTCAGCAACGACTGTAACCGAAGTAAAGGATATTTTCCACTTAACTTTCTCTAAATTGCCATAAGTGCTGCAAACGTAAAATAAAACATCTTACAATAATCTGCACCCGAAAGAAAACGATCCGAGCTCCGTACAAAATACAAGCTTTTGTACGAAAAACCCACATGAAAAACCCCGCAGCAAGAAAAAAAACGCAATAAAAATACTCAAGGCGACAATTCGACTATACCCCAAGAATTGTGCTTTCCCCCCACCCAAAAAAAACCCCAAATCCCTAAATTCCCTCAAAGAATTCTAAGAAGTTGTTTTGTCTTTAGAGTTGAACTGTTTACTTACCAAAGTGTCAGAGAGGTGGAGTGCGGGGCTACTGCTCAGTCTGTGCCTTCCTCTCTCTACTGAATACTATTTCCTCAATCTTCTCCTGTCTGTCTACCTCTCCTCTCCCTGCTCTGTCTCCTCTCTTTACAGGTCTGTCCCTCCTCTCCCTGATGGCTGGTGGTGTCTTCGCTTGTCTCCTCTCTCTGTCAGTGTCTCTGTCTCTCCCTCCTTCATGTGTCTCTCCGTCTCTGTAGTGTCTTTCCTTCTCTACCTACCTTCGCTCCTCTCTCTATGTCTTCCCTCTGTTTATTTTCTCACTCTCTCTCTCTATAGTTTTTCCTCACTCACCTTGCTCTCGTCCTCTCTCTTACCTTATACTATCTCTGACTCTCGTTCCTCTCTCTCTTTCCTCACTTCTATTCTCTCTCTTTTCTCTCCTTCTCACTCGCTCTATCCTCCCTCACTCACTCTATCCTGCCTCACTCACTCTCTCTATCCTGCCTCACTCACTCTCTCTATCCTCCCTCACTCACTGTCTCTATCCTGCCTCACTCACTCACTCTCTCTATCCTGCCTCACTCACTCTCTCTATCCTCCCTCACTCACTCTCTCTCTATCCTCCCTCACTCACTCTCTCTATCCTGCCTCACTCACTCTCTCTATCCTCCCTCACTCACTGTCTCTATCCTGCCTCACTCACTCTCTCTCTCTATCCTCCCTCACTCACTGTCTCTATCCTGCCTCACTCACTCTCTCTCTATCCTCCCTCACTCACTCTCTCTATCCTCCCTCACTCACTGTCTCTATCCTGCCTCACTCACTCTCTCTCTCTATCCTCCCTCACTCACTCTCTCTATCCTCCCTCACTCACTGTCTCTATCCTGCCTCACTCACTCTCTCTCTCTGTCCTCCCTCACTCACTGTCTCTATCCTGCCTCACTCACTCTCTCTCTATCCTCCCTCACTCACTCTCTCTATCCTCCCTCACTCACTGTCTCTATCCTGCCTCACTCACTCTCTCTCTCTATCCTCCCTCACTCACTGTCTCTATCTTGCCTCACTCACTCTCTCTCTCTATCCTCCCTCACTCACTCTCTCTCTCTACCCTCCCTCACTCACTCTCTCTATTCTCTCTCTCTAGCCTCCCACTCTCTCTATCCTCCCCCAATCAATCCTCTCTCAATCTCTCCATCCTCCCTCACTCTCTCTATCCTCCCTCCCCCACTCTCTCTATCCTCCCTCCCCCACTCTCTCTATCCTCCCTCCCCCACTCTCTCTATTCCCCCCTCACTCTCTCTAACCTTCCTCACACTCTCTGTCCTCCCTCACTCACTCTCTCTATCCTCCCTCTCTCTCTCTCTATCCTCCCTCTCTCTCTCTCTATCCTCCCTCTCTCTCTCTCTATCCTCCCTCTCTCTCTCTCTATCCTCCCTCTCTCTCTATCCTCCCTCTCTCTCTATCCTCCCTCTCTCTCTATCCTCCCTCTCTCTCCCTTCTCTCTATCCTCCCTCTCTCTCTATCCTCCCTCCCCCATTCTCTATCCTCCCTCACTCTCTATCCTCCCTCTCACACTCTCTATCCTCCCTCTCACACTCCCTCTATCCTCTCACACTCCCTCTATCCTCTCACACTCCCTCTATCCTCTCACACTCCCTCTATCCTCTCACACTCCCTCTATCCTCTCACACTCCCTCTATCCTCTCACACTCCCTCTATCCTCTCACACTCCCTCTATCCTCTCACACTCCTCTATCCTCTCACACTCCCTCTATCCTCTCACACTCCCTCTATCCTCTCACACTCCCTCTATCCTCTCACACTCCCTCTATCCTCTCACACTCCCTCTATCCTCTCACACTCCCTCTATCCTCTCACACTCCCTCTATCCTCTCACACTCCCTCTATCCTCTCACACTCCCTCTATCCTCTCACACTCCCTCTATCCTCTCACACTCCTCTATCCTCTCACACTCCTCTATCCTCTCACACTCCCTCTATCCTCTCACACTCCTCTATCCTCTCACACTCCCTCTATCCTCTCACACTCCCTCTATCCTCTCACACTCCCTCTATCCTCTCACACTCCCTCTATCCTCTCACACTCCCTCTATCCTCTCACACTCTCTCTATCCTCTCACACTCTCTCTATCCTCTCACACTCTCTCTATCCTCTCACACTCTCTCTATCCTCTCACACTCTCTCTATCCCCTCTCACTATATATATCCTCTCTCTCTCCTCTCTCACACTCTCTATCCTCTCTCACATTTTCTCTATCCTCCCTCTCTTCCTCACACTCTCTCTATCCTCTCTCTCTATATCCTCTCTCACACTCTCTCTATCCTCTCCCACACTCTCTCTATCCTCTCCCCACTCTCTCTATCCTCTCCCACACTCTCTCTATCCTCTCCCACACTCTCTCTATCCTCTCCCACACTCTCTCTATCCTCTCCCACACTCTCTCTATCCTCTCCCACACTCTCTCTCTATCCTCCTCTCACACTCTCTCTCTATCCTCCTCTCACACTCTCTCTCTATCCTCTCTCACACGCTCTCTCTATCCTCTCTCACACTCTCTCTCTATCCCGTCTCACACTCTCTATCCCGTCTCACACTCTCTATCCTCTCTCTCTATCCTTCTCTCTCTCGTCTCACACTCTCTCTCTGTCCTCTCTCACACACTCTCTATCCTCTCTCACACTCTCTCTCTCTATCTTCTCTCACTCTCTCTCTCTATCCTCTCTCACATTCTCTATCCCGTCTCACACTCTCTATCCTCTCTCTCTATCCTTCTCTCTCTCGTCTCACACTCTCTCTCTATCCTCTCTCACACACTCTCTCTCTATCCTCTCTCACTCTCTCTCTCTCTCTATCCTCTCTCACACTCTCTCTCTCTATCCTCTCTCACACTCTCTCTCTCTCTCTCCTCTCTCCTCCCTCTCTCTCCTCTCACACTCTCTCTCTCTATCCTCTCTCACACTCTCTCTCTCTATCCTCTCCCACACTCTCTCTCTCTATCCTCTCTCACACTCTCTCTCTCTATCCTCTCCCACACTCTCTCTCTCTATCCTCTCCCACACTCTCTCTCTCTATCCTCTCCCACACTCTCTCTCTCTATCCTCTCCCACACTCTCTCTCTCTATCCTCTCCCACACTCTCTCTCTCTCTATCCTCTCCCACACTCTCTCTCTCTCTATCCTCTCCCACACTCTCTCTCTCTCTATCCTCTCCCACACTCTCTCTCTCTCCCTATCCTCTCTCACACTCTCTCTCTCCTCTCTCACACTCTCTCTCTCCTCTCTCACACTCTCTCTATCCTCTCTCACACTCTCTCTCTCCTCTCTCACACTCTCTCTATCCTCTCTCACACTCTCTCTATCCTCTCTCACACTCTCTCTATCCTCTCTCACACTCTCTCTCTCTATCCTCTCTCACACTCTCTCTCTCTATCCTCTCTCACACTCTCTCTCTCTATCCTCTCCCACACTCTCTCTCTCTATCCTCTCCCACACTCTCTCTCTCTCTATCCTCTCCCACACTCTCTCTCTCTCTCTATCCTCTCCCACACTCTCTCTCTCTCTCTATCCTCTCTCACACTCTCTCTATCCTCTCTCACACTCTCTCTATCCTCTCTCACACTCTCTCTATCCTCTCTCACACTCTCTCTATCCTCTCTCACACTCTCTCTCTCTATCCTCTCTCACACTCTCTCTCTCTATCCTCTCTCACACTCTCTCTCTCTATCCTCTCTCACACTCTCTCTCTCTATCCTCTCTCACACTCTCTCTCTCTATCCTCTCTCACACTCTCTCTCTCTCTAACCCTCTCTCTCACTCTCTCTCTCTCTCTCCTCTCACACACTCTCTCTCTCTATCTCTCACACACTCACTCTCTCTCTCTATCCTCTCACACACTCTCTCTCTCTCCTCTCTCACACTCTCTCTCTCACACTCTCTCTCTCACACTCTCTCTCTCTCTCCTCTCTCTCTCTCACACTCTCTCTCTCTCTATCCTCTCTCACTCTCTCTCTCTATCCTCTCTCCCTATCCTCTCTCTCTCTATCCTCTCTCACACTCTCTCTCTCTATCCTCTCTCACACTCTCTCTCTCTATCCTCTCTCACACTCTCTCTCTCTATCCTCTCTCACACTCTCTCTCTCTATCCTCTCTCACACTCTCTCTCTCTATCCTCTCTCACACTCTCTCTCTCTATCCTCTCTCACACTCTCTCTCTCTATCCTCTCTCACACTCTCTCTCTCTATCCTCTCTCACACTCTCTCTCTCTATCCTCTCTCACACTCTCTCTCTCTATCCTCTCTCACACTCTCTCTCTCTATCCTCTCTCACTCTCTCTCTCTATCCTCTCTCCCTATCCTCTCTCTCTATCCTCTCTCACACTCTCTCTCTCTATCCTCTCTCACACTCTCTCTCTCCCTCTCTCACACTCTCTCATCACTCCCTCTCTCACACTCTCTCACTCCCTCTCTCACACTCTCTCACTCCCTCTCTCACACTCTCTCTCTATCCTCTCTCACACTCTCTCTCTATCCTCTCTCACACTCTCTCTCTATCCTCTCTCACACTCTCTTCCTCTCTATCCTCTCTCACATCCTCTCTCTCTCCTATCCTCTCTCACACTCTCTCTCTCTCTCCTCTCTCACACTCTCTCTCTCTCTCCTCTCTCACACTCTCTCTCTCTCTCCTCTCTCACACTCTCTCTCTCTATCCTCTCTCACACTCTCTCTCTATCCTCTCTCACACTCTCTCTCTATCCTCTCTCACACTCTCTCTCTCTGTCCTCTCTCACACTCTCTCTCTCTATCCTCTCTCACACTCTCTCTCTCTATCCTCTCTCACACTCTCTCTCTGTCCTCTCTCACACTCTCTCTCTCTGTCCTCTCTCACACTCTCTCTCTGTCCTCTCTCACACTCTCTCTCTGTCCTCTCTCACACTCTCTCTCTATCCTCTCTCACACTCTCTCTCTCTATCCTCTCTCACACTCTCTCTCTATCCTCTCTCACACTCTCTCTCTCTATCCTCTCTCACACTCTCTCTCTCTATCCTCTCTCACACTCTCTCTCTCTATCCTCTCTCACACTCTCTCTCTATCCTCTCTCACACTCTCTCTCTATCCTCTCTCACACACACTCTCTATCCTCTCTCACACACACTCTCTATCCTCTCTCACACACACTCTCTATCCTCTCTCACACTCACTCTCTATCCTCTCTCACACTCACTCTCTATCCTCTCTCACACTCACTCTCTATCCTCTCTCACACTCACTCTCTATCCTCTCTCACACTCACTCTCTATCCTCTCTCACACTCTCTATCCTCTCTCACACTCTCTATCCTCTCTCACACTCTCTATCCTCTCTCACACTCTCTATCCTC